GGATACCCAATTTACAAGAAGTAATAAATTATTTCAGACTTGAATTGTGGCTTAAGGGAGCAAATAGAGAGGACTTATTGGGAAATACACAAAAGTTGTGAATTGCACTTCCTGGATAAATTCGTTTTTCAGTCAGGAACAAGAAAACGATTATTTGCAAATGCATTCCCAACAGTATTTCCCCATTCAGAACCTACGAAAAGAGTCACATTTTTGCAAGGTAAATAAATAAAATGTATAGTTAAATGTTACAAAAAGTTTGCTACGGAAGCGTAGAAGGGCCACATTTTTTAATTTTTTTTTTTTAATTCTAAAATTCCGTGTTCGTACACGGAATTCCTTGTTTAAACACGGAATTTCCGTGTTCAAACACAGAAATCCAAAATTCCGTGTTCGAACAAGGAATTTCCGTGTTAAAACAAAGAATTCCGTATTCAAACACGGAATTCCGTGTACGAACACGGAATTCCGTGTATGAACACGGAAATTCCGTGTTCGAATACGGAATTTTAGATTTCCGTGTTCGAATAAGGAATTCCGTGTTTGAACACGGAAATTCCGTGTTCTAACAAGGAATTCCGTGGTCGAACACATAATTTTATATTCGAGCTACAGTATTTATTGGTATATGTACGGCAGCGTAGAAGCGTAGATGCGAATATTTTGGTATAAGTATATTTTTCATCAGGTGTCATCATTTTTCGAAATATGACGCCATCACTAGTTTTTTAAGTAGCACCACCATTTTTTGATAATACCATTTAATAGAAATACAAGCAACAACATTTTTAACCGGTCCTCCATTTCTTTACTTTTTTCGAGAGATAACTAATAATTGGATTTAGAAAACACCACCTCACTTTATCCCTCTCTTATCTAGGCTAGAGAGGCAATGAGAGTAAATTTAAAACACTATACAGGGTGTTATTTTAAATCGATTTAAATGAAATTTGGGCATCAGGGACTAGAGCCTAAGACATAAGACTGACCTGGAAATAAAATTAATGGAAAAATATTACTATGCAGGGGACAAAGAGGGCAAGACTTTTGATACTACTTCCTTGAGAAAATAGGATTGGAAGGGTCGCTATAGGCATTGAGACATTTCCTTAGTGCAGTGGCGACAGAAGGGGGCACAATAGATCTTTTAGGTCGCAGTGTATTAACACCCCATTATCAACATAACATACTACTTCCGTCTCTTTTTTAAAAAATCGGCAAATGTAAAAATCTGAGGATATCCAAAGAATCTGTATTTACCCATCCCTCACAAAGATCCTCAAGTCACCCAAAAGCAACCTGTAAATACTTTATTTAAATTTATAGTTCGAAAATAAAATTCCGTGTTCGAACAAGGAATTCCGTGTTCGAACACGGAATTCTTTGTTTGAACACGGAATTTTAGATTTCTGTGTTCGAACAAGGAATTCCATGTTTGAACAGGGAATTCCGTGTTCGAATACAGAATTCCGTGTTCGAATACGGAATTCTTTGTTTGAACACGGAAATTCCGTGTTTGAACACGGAATTTGAGATTTCCGTGTTTTAACAAGAAATTCCGTGTTTGAACAAGGAATTCCGTGTTCGAATACGGAATTCTGTGTTTGAATACGGAATTCCGTGCACGAACAAGGAATTCCGTGTTCAAACACGGAATTTTAAAAATAAAAAAAAAATTAAAAGTGTGGCCCTTCTACGCTGCCGTAGTTTGCTACTCGTCTTTGTCATTTTTTTAAATTACATTTAGTAGTTTAAAAAATAAAATGATAAGTACCTACTAATAATCTTAGAATATCAACCCATACATTCCATTTTGTAGAACTACCTTGAAGGTAAACTGCACTATGTCGACATACAACAACTTATGCAAATTAAAATAAAGTAGTTTTATTAGTTAGGTTAGTAAAAAATACAAATATTTTGACAATAAATGGATGTCTAAATGCATATCTAGTTGAAATTTAATAATTTAACAACATTCAATCTGCTGTACTAAAAAGTTGACTAAAATGACATAGTGCAGTTGACCTCCTAGGCACAGAAATATATTCACATTTTATAAAATTATTTTAAATTTCATCTGGCTAAACAGTGTGACTCAAACATTTAATTCTGACAAATGATTCTTGATAAAAATTTAGTTTCTCTTTCTTTTTTTAGAGGAATTTGTTTTTCATGGCAAAGAAAACTTGTGTCTACCCTCAACTTCAGCGGAAGTAGAATCTATTGAACAAGTGCATAGTCAACCATCTGTTCCTGTACCTTGTGTAACAGCACAAATTCAAACGAGTAGTGTCTTATCATCAAACACTCCAAGAAAGCAGAGACTGCGACTGAAGATTGCAACGTTAAGGAAACTTTTGTTTGGTGCAAAAAAGAAGACAAATAATTACTCATTATTTAATATAGTACCGTTTATATAATTATTCTATATTTTTGTTGTATATTAAGATGTAGCTATTTTAATAAATTTAATAAATTAGGCTTGCTCTATAAATCTGTGTTAACAATTTTAATTATTTTAATTTTCAAACACTTAAAACCATTTTGTTATGTTATCAATACTATGTAATAGTTTTAACAAAATATGTCATAGGTGTGTGATCCTTTTTTTAGACAATATAAGTCTAATTAAACATGTACTTAATTTGAGTACATAGTTTCTCAACCGTTTTTTTTGCCGTTTTTATAACATAAATAAACTATTGTTTAAAACTTTATAATTTTTATTTTTGAAACCTCTGTCGGGAGGGCTACAAATCGAAAAATATGTTACTTAAATCGAGAATAGTTTAAAATGCATTCATGCAAATTTTCATAAAATATGAAACATAATTCTGTAAAAGAGAAATGTAGTTTTCGCAGTGTAGGTTCAGTGAATAGCTACGTTCGCGTGTACTGTGAATAGTTACGTTTTCTCAGAGTATCTCTGTGGTGGAACTGAAGGTCAAATATTTCAATCCCTTCTACTTTCAGTGCAGGTGTTATCTTATGCACAGAGGTGGTTTAGGTATTATGTTCAATTGAGAGATGTATAGTAACGAAATTTAAATACACCTAATCTCATATTTTTTTAACATTTGTAGGCTACGGTCGATATTAGGTCCAGTAATTTTGTCACTTTTTCCATAAAGATTAAGTAAAACCATAATATTTTTACACTTTTTAATCTTCTATAAGTGTGCACTAACCTAATTAAGGTAACAAATATTATTAAAACACATTTGTAAGCTAAAAAATTAAGAATATGCATTTATTCACTACATTCTCACGTAGCCATATTGTTTTTAATTTTTTCGATTTGACATTTACACTAAAAGCGTCTGTGCGTGATTTTAGCGATGTTGCCAATTGCTTTTTGTTATTTGTTATAAATAAATATATTCATGGTAATACCGTTCTATATTATTTTTTATGAATAATATGACAACTGATATTTTTATTTCTATAAATGTGGAGTTGTCAAACATAGTAAAAGAACGTACATAACAGGAATGACAGTGGCTGTTTTTTCAATAGCTCCAAGCCAAATGATAAAACCAGAATATAAATGTGTTTATATGAGACTTTTCATTTCAATTATTCAATTTGAGCTGTGTCCAGGCCGTTGGAGTCTATGCCGGTCGGCGTAGCCAGGTATGGGTTAATGTTTTTGGTGGCGGCGAAGCCGCCACTCTACGATAAGGCGTTGCTTCGTTTTCTTGTTGCATATTTATGGAACGATATGCGCAATCACAATTTTCCATTAACTACTAATTTTATCACAATCCGGCAACGTTGTAATTATATTTACTAAATTTGACAGAAACCATCGAGTTTCCATGTTTACAGTCGTCAAAATGCTGATTTTTATAGAAATTAAATAATTTTTTTTGGCTTAAATAATGCATTTACAGCAATTTTTTTTTAAATATACTATTTAAAATACGCTCTTTCTGATAAAAAATAAATTTCTTTAAAATTTTACTGGACCTAAAGTCGACCGTACCCTTTGTAGTGTGTATGTCCCCATACTTTTTATAAATTGACTGCACCAAAAGATGGAAAAATTGTATTTTTTGAAACATATGTATAGAACAAGTAAAAGTTGGAAAGGCTTTTGCCAGTTCTCCCACTTTATACTACACATAAATTGAAAGGTTTTCGGCGGATATAACTGAAGTGGACGCGATACATTGGCGTACAAAATTATTTTATAGATGTTAATAACAATTTCGAGTAAATAGTTTAATAAATTGTGAATAGCTGTTGGAATTTTGTAAAATTATGATTTGAATATTATAATACATGTTTTAATAATTATTTATAGTCCATAAATACATGCGATTGTCCGGTTCCGCCGGTAACAATTTAAAATTACTTATTCTATGAAACGACACTGGCAGGCAGGTAAACATTACTGCGAAATTCTCAAAGCCGTCGGACATGGTTTGACATTTACCTACCAAAAGCCTTTCCAACTTCTACTTGTGCTATACCTAGCGCTTAAAATATAAAAAAATTAAATTTGACAGAAAAAACCAAGGAACTTTATATAAAATTCTACTAGGGTCAGGAAATTTATCCTTATTCAATTTTAATCATAACTAATTTTACATCTATCTTTAACGGCATATTTATTTTCCTTACTGTCGCTGTTATTATTGATATTGAAATAAAATAAAAGCTGTTCGGTCTTAAAATAATCATTACATACGTACAAATCTACCTTAATCATTAATTACTCAAAAAAATCGATATTTAGAAGATTATAGGTAGGACTAATAAATTTAAAGTTTAAAACGAACATCTGATTCGATAATAAAAATGTCTTCCTAAGAAATAAATAAATTAAAATTTATGGTGAATCAATGGATACATGTTGACCTTCAATGAAAATCCCAACCCAACTCCCATTGGAAATCTCGCTTATCTTTAATCTTGACCTTGACAATTGAAAACCTTCCAAACACCGATAATGTCACATACGCTCGAGCCAAAAAATTATAGATTTTTCTCACCTTTTCTAGCTCCTTTTCGATTTCTCCTGCTCTTATAACTAGAGGGCCTCTAACAGCATATTCCATAACTTTAACATTTGGATTTATGTTATCTATACTCAAAGAGGGTTGATAAGAAGCCATCATGCGATGCGATTTTTGATTTTCGGAGCACAGAAGAGACCTGACGCTTACCGACACAGCTGACTTGTGCCTATGGAGTGACGCACTCTTCCCGCAAAGATGTAGGGGAGATAATAATCGGCTAGTCGACATAGTGGATAGTTGAAGTATTTTTACGTCACTAAATAAACAAATAATTACTTTTACTAATAATTTCGCGTTTTACACTCCAGATCTGTAACACTCGACGCGTTGTAACACTGTTACAAGTAACACACTGGCTGGTACTGGATTACGAATTACGACTTGAATATATGTTTATTTCTACAATTATAAATCAAAGGAATTGATAAAATGTAAGGTTATTTATTGTGTTTATCTTGATAAAGGTCGTGTCAAAAGTTTATCGCGAAAATAATTTTAATTTAGGGTATTTAAAATTGTATTTTAACCTAGCACGTCATGACAATTTATCGATTTTTTTAAGGTTTAATGTTTAATCTGCATGGATTTAATATGCACTGAATAAACCCGTTGCAAAAACGAAGTAGTGACTTAATTAATTGGACACTGTTCAAAAAGGTTTTAAATAGAACAAGAATAGAGTAAATAAAGTTTAATTTGAGGTGGTCAGGTCAGGCGGCGCAATTTTTTACCTAATTTCAAATTCCTAATAGTGGCTAAAATCCCAATGCCGGAAATTTAAAGCATTATTTTAAGGATGAGATTACAGAACGTCTCCAACTTTGCAGATCTGCAAATCCGCGTTTGAAAATCCACATCCGATGCATTTTTTACATCTTGGGCGTTTTTTTAACCACATCGGACACATCTGTCCCACTATATTTACGTACGTATACTGAATCACGTGATCAAAGATTTACTACATCTCAGATACATCCGATGTGGATATTCAAACGCGGCAAAATATAGCGGACTTACAGATGCAAGTAATCAAGTTTTCGTATTTTAAAAAATATCTGCAAATTCGCAATATATTTTATTGTGGTTTATTACCCTCAACAACACTAAACCAAAATCCACCCTTAAGGGTGAGATTACGGAAGCTCTGCAAATCGTACTTGCATCTACAAATATCAGTTGCAATGCCTATAACGACCCTTCCAATCCTATTTTCTTAAGGAAATGTAGGATTTGAAGTGGCTTCAAGTTAGGTAAATCTCCCTCTTCTATTTTATAACCTCCTAGATTCTGGAGTGCTACACATTCCGTTAGGATGTGAATGGAGGTTTCGTCCTTCTCCTCACAGAATCTGCACTCACTATCCTCTACTACTCTCAGTTTACTTAGGTGTCCTTTTAGTCGGCAATGCCCGGTAAGGATCCCTGTTACAATACGTAGTCTGTTCTTGCTCAGGCAGATGCAGGTTCCGATCTTTTCTGGTTATATTCACCCAGAAGTATCTTGGCCTGTCTCAACCCCAAGAGATTGTTCCAATTATCGGTTATTCTACTGTCCAATTCTTTTTTAATCTCTCCTAATATTATGTTACTGCTGATACCGCAGAACGGCTCAGGTCCTACAAAGTACAAAGGGTGTTTGGGCCCCTTTCCTTGCAAGCCTATCTGCAATCTCGTTACCCTGTACCTCGTTATGTCCCGGGACCCAAGTGAGAGTAACTCAATTTTTTTCGCATATCTCATTCAATTGTTCTAGGCATCTCCAGACCATTTTTGAGCTAATTACGTAAGAGCTCAGCGCTTTGATGGCTGCTTGACTATCGGAAATGATGATAATCTCTTGTCTATGATAGTTTCTCTCGATGTTGAACTGGATACACTTCTCGATGGCGTGAATTTCCGCCTGGAAGGTGCTTGGGTATTTTCCCAAGCTTTGGGAGTGCTTGGTTCTCGGCCCATACACTCCTATTCCAGTTCCTTTCATGGTTTTGGCACCGTCCGTATACCACTGAATAGCACGTCTTTCGGTTGCAAGCGCGATGGATTCTTGGCTCCATTCTTTCTTGGGCTCTGGGGTTTTGAAGTTTTTCACAAAACTGTACTTCTTTAGCATTTCATCCTGGAGCATGTCCCAGGTATATTTAGTCCTGAAGCAAGTAGACTTTCGTCTGATTACTCATCCCTTCCTGATCATTCTATATCGTGTCCTTTTGCCACATTCTCTATCATTAAATGTAGAGGGGTGAGGTTTAAGATCAATTCCATTGCGGCCGTAAGACGCCTTGCATAAAACATATCAGAGGTCTTTAAGCGATTGTACTCATTCGTGCGAAATATTCTTTCTACAACACCTATTACGCAAATATTCTATTAGTGTATAGGAAGAGTCGAATTAATAATTAATATGTAGAAAGAGTCATTCGTACCAAAAAGTTAGTAGAGCAGGTATATATACAGGTAGGAAGAGGAAGAAAGCAACTATACCGCAGAGTGGAGACGATCATAGAAAAATAAAAGGAGACGATCAAGCTGACGCTTTCTTTGTATAGTAATTTACATATACGCTCTATACCAGCTGTACTCAACCTTTTTTTCTTTCGGGCCACAAAAATCTGTTTGTTATGCTACACGAGTCGCAATATTTTTGGGTGATAACTAGAGTTGCCACCTTTTCGAAATGTAAAATAACGGACAATGGGTGACGATAGAGATTCGGTTTAAATATTTTCTAAAAAAAGCTCCTAATGTTTTAATAAGCTTTGAAAAGTCGCAAGGACAATTTGTTTCAAAAAAGGACTGCATTTAAAATTGGTTGGGATCTCTAATATATAAAACACAACAATAAAAATATTAGCATGATAGCATGATATTTATCCTTAATGTTATGTGTGCGCATTTCGCTCAAAATTTTAAAAACAAAAAGCAATAGTTTTAAAATGCACCTTCCTAATAACAGTGTTTGGGGTTGCACAAAAAGCTTGGAGGGCCGCAGGTTGAGTATGACTGCTCTATACTATTAATTTATCTAATATGTACAAATAAAACTTTTATATAATAATTATAATTAATTATTGTATTTGCTTAAAATTACATCAACAGTGAGATGATGGTATAAAGTGAAGCACAAAGTAAATTGAGTATAGACCGACTTCCAAGTTACTCGTTGGCGATTACCTGCAGCACTGGATCCATAGGAGTCTTATGGATTCAGTGACTGTTGTTAATATTAAATAAGAATATATGTTTTTAAACTAAACACATTACGTATTCTGCAATTATTTTTAGTTATATTTTAAGTTCCAAATAATGGCTATTTTTTATTTGATATAAAGGGTTTTTCAACTTACCTTGTAATGTGTGTTACCTAACAATAGTAACCGTGTATACGTATAATGGCCTTCCATCGAGTTTTGTTACTCTTACCCATTGATAAATTGTAAAAAATCGACATATAAATAAACTAAGTACCAGTTTTAAATAACTTACATAATTTAAAGTTATAGGAATATTATTTAAAATTGTACGAATATCAATCTCGAATTTCCATGAGCTACCTAGCAGATTAAAACAAGAAACTAAAAAAAATCTTTCGCTTTCACCATAATTTAGGAATAACAAATATCTTCTAAAATAATTTCAAATAAAATTTTTGATTGATTAATCAGGTGGGTTACCTAGTTACCGGGGTTGTTTTATCTCCAGTAGCGACAACTTAGTCACTTTTAGTTTATGTGGTTGACAAATGACATTTAAAAGAATGTCAACTGTCAGAATAAGATTTGACAACCATTGACATCTGTCCCTCAGTCAGTTAAAAAATTGGATTTTATTTCCAATTTTCATTCTCCGACCAACTTTTAGGATAAGAATTTGTAGATTGGTGTTTTAGTTTTAAATGTACAGATAAGTAAGGTCAGCTGTACACGATCTTTTAAAAAATGGCAGCGCCAGTGGTTATTGCAGCTACAGCCAAACAGACTGGGACAGTAAGAATACTTCATTATTTGAATAAAATTATTTATACTAATTGTAACAATATTTTTAGCTTATTTTCCTTCATGGATTAGGCGACACGGGGTAAGTTAAATCATATAACTAATTTAATTAATATTTTTATGGTTTGTCAAAGGTTAACCATTTTGATTGGAATATCGATGTGATTATTCAGACATTTTTATAAAACGTAGTGCTACTGTTTAAATCTGCACCCTAAGTACTTAGATTTTCGTTCTCCTATAGAGGCATAAGACCAATTTACAGTATAAAATATTAAAAAAAAATATTTTATAGTCTTTCGAAATTTGTTAAAAAAAAACATTTCTCTCAAAAAGTATCTACAAATTTGTCAAAAATTAGTTATTTTGTTTTTCATCATTACATAATAAAATAATTAAATATTTACATAAAAGAGGAAAAATAATTAAGATGTAGTTTGTTACTACAGTTCTTAAAAACAAACTAAGTGCTAAAACAAATGGGACAGCTTTTATTGAGTTGAGGGTCGACTCGACCTATCCTTTATACCAATGAAATGAGTTAAAACAGACGATGTAATGAGAAACTGAATTGAGCGGAGTGTGTTTTAACTTATTTCATTGGTATAAAGGACAGGTCAACACGACAAAAGTCTGGTTTAACACTAATATGCTCATATGATGTGTTTACCTAAGTCAGGGGTCTTTAACCTGTTTTTTAGGAATCAAATATAAGTACATTCATCAATATTAGAAAAAATTATATAAGGTAGTGGGGAGGAAGGTTAGCTTAAGCTAGATTTACTTGCATGTGATCTGCCAGGCATTTTGATGTGTGCAAGGGATTATTAAAATTTGTTTGGCATTGGGGATATATTGCAGCTAATTTTTCAATATTATTTAACTGCCACAAGTATTCTACTGAGCCACAAATGTATTAGTTCTTCGGAAAAAAATTATTATTTTTTTTATAAAAAGTGCATCATTTAGAAATCTATAATCAAGTATAAAATTTGTACAATTGTAAAATTTTCAATACACGTGTGTTTTAGCATTGGCAGCTTTAGTCATTGAACAAAGTAAATCGAAACATTTTGTTTAATTCCTATCAATATTTTCACTTAATATTTTTTTCTATGTTGAATTTTGAAAGAACTTTATTCTTTTGTATAAATCATTATTTTTTTATTTTCTCTGTATCTACATGTTTTACAAATTTCATTCTTGACTGATTAGGAAAAAGACAATGAAACTTGAAAAAAGATAATGAAACTGGGTATTTCGAGGGGTATTTACTGATTTTATAATTTAATTATAACATTAGATTTAAAATTTTCATGATCACTGTTTAAACAACTGTAACTGCTCATTTAAAATTTTTAATAATTTTACCAATCAAAGAATTTTCTGGCGGCGTCTTAGTCCAATCATTATAGTAAGTTCACCTCGGAATTCGAGATACCCAGCTGTAAGTCTGTAAATACTTGTATATTGACACCCTAAAAATTGTCTCAAAACCTACATATGGTAGGGTGTACCCATCTATTAAATTTCAAGGTCAAAGGTCACAAAAATCGTTTTTTTGCGCTTTTTTTGTAAATATCTCATTTCCTATGGGTTTTTTGCTATTTGCATTTATTATCAATATTGTAGAATACAAAATTCTCTAAAAATTTTGTTTAAAAAAATTTTTCATACGGTGAACCGTTTTCGAGATAGATGACGGAGAGCGCGCGGTCACAGCATCACTTCAGGTCAACCGGTGCCTCCGGTCGAAAACGCGCCATATATAGTTGATGAAATATCGATAAATCAATGATTATAAATATTTGTCAATTTTTATTAACTATTATATTATATTTTATAATTTTTTTTCCTAACCTATCCACTTTTTATTTAGTATTAATTTATTTAACAACACTTACCTGCCCATGTAATTGCAAAATTGTTAATGAAAATATAGGAATTATATTTGAATTTTAACCTAATTAATATTAATAAATTCTTACATGATAAAAAAAAACAAATAAATTATGAATTATTCTTTTTATTAAAAAATTTCATTCAATACATTTATTTTTATTAAAAGTAAAAAAATGGAATAAAAGGTACAAAAACTACAATTTATAATTTTAATAATCTTCTTCCTCTTCATCGTCGTCTTCCGGCTGCTGGTAAATTTCAAACTGGCCTTCATTATCGTCTTCAACGACATTTCTCTCAAGTTCTTCCATGATTTCGGGGTCAAAGGTTCCATCTTCGTTAATGTCGCTCTGATATGGAAGAGCATTGAGACAAGCTTGCCCATTACATTGGCCACAAGCTAAAGAGCATTGCAAGCCCGCTTTCCTGCATCCGCATCGCGAACCACAACCACTCTTGCAGTTGCAGAAAATTGTATTTAGCAAATCTTCTGGAGCAGGTGGTAAAATTGTCATGATAGGCTCCAGAAAATCGTTTCGCATTGCCCAACTCCATACCTGGGGTTCCAAATCATGCCTTAACCAAGTTTGAACTTAATAATATACACGTTTGAAAGGTTGATGAGCAGCTGCTTTTGTTGATGGAATATTTGAAAGCTGCACAGGTTAATTAAGTTTTGTAGACTTGACGTAATGCATATAACGAAGATGATCGAGACTTTTCACAGATTTCGGAGCATTATAGACTGCCAATAAGATTTGAGTTCCACTCTCTAATAATCTCTGGGCCGAACAATTTTCTTTCTCAAATGCTGCAGCTAGTTCATTCAAATTTGTCAGTTTCTCAAAAACTTTAAAAAATGATTTTTTCCCTTTTTAAAAAGCGCAGAAGTTGTGTCACAGCCACTTAATGCGTGCAGAAATAAAATATGTGTTTTGGAATGAGGATAATTATCAAAACTTTTAGTCAAGTATATTAGAGCTGTAAAAGTAACGAGAAAATCAATACCCGTATGTATTCGTTACTTCAGATCTGACTACCCGTATAAAAATATTCGTTACTCGTTACTTTCGTTACTGTGATACGAATCTACAGAACACGCATCGTGTGGACCTCATACACGTCTATGCGGATGCGGAATTGGTGTCGGTAACTAATCGTACGTACGCATTACTTCGGTTGTTAGGTTTTGGTACTGTCTAACAGAGGGTGTGGATGAAATTAGATATCGAATCGTTGGTTAAATAAATACATAGCGAACAGTGTTGCCAGATATACCATATTTATGGTATTTATACCATTTTTTCTACTCCGATACCTGCAAATTTTTAAAGATACCATTTTCCATTTTTTACCATTTTTTGGCTACTGATACCATTTTACTACCATATTTTTAACTTTTAGATTTTTATATCATTCATTATAATAATATGAGTAAAACATAGCACTCTGCACATCTCTACTCTACTAACAAGTAACAAGAATGGTCTCACATCTCTACTAAAACACGCCCAATAATAGACGATTACAAAAATGTATTTAGGTATAATCGGAGAATTCAATAATGAAAATAAAAATATATGGTCTATTTAAAAAAAAAAAACGATGACGTAGCGAAATACGTCTAGTTGAAAATAAAAATTGACCAGTGAAAGTGAAAGCATTTTGTTAAAATACTGTTAGACAGAAAAATATCGAATTTATTCCAACCTATACGTCCTCATTGTATATGTTACTATAGGTTATAGTTATAAATTACTAAGTGCCAATTTCACCGTTGTGTTAAACGAAGATTAAAATGACATAGTTAATGTAAAAATGTCATTTTAAACTTCGTTTAACACAACGGTGGAATGCAAAACTACATTCAGCACACAGTTCCGTTACGAGTGCCAATTTAACCAATCGGAATGAACAGAAGTGACAGCTTTAAGGGGCGGAGCTTAATGCTGCGAAAAATGGTGATGATGGAAACAAGTTTTCTAACCTCAACTTTAGATATATATGTGTTTTGGTTTAAAATATTATTCTTTTATTTTATGACAGTGACTAGCAGTACATCGGATGTACGCGCTTTATTTGTACATCGGTCTACTTTTGACAGAGTACTCGTAGGTGAGCTGTGTCCAGGCCGTTGGTGTTTATGCCGGTCGTCGTAGCCAGGTATGGATTGAAAATTTTTGGTGGCGGCGAAGCCGCCACCCTACGAGAAGTCGTTGCTTCGTCTTCTTGTTGTCACGGCATTATTATTATTATTAGTTCATGCATGTGAAATTTGCTTCTAAGGTTTATAAAATACTACAGAAAAATACTTAAGTCTTCAACTCCATCTTCTGAAATAAAGTTATGTTAGAATTAGGATGTACAAATAATGGAGGATACATCCGATGTACAAATAATTCGTGTATATCCGATGTACTGCTATTCACGGCGTTACTTTCAAAACTAGCGCGCTTTTATGTCCCGCCTATAATTTGGTGTTCGCACGTTGTTATTGGCTCTTTTTAGTCCCATAACCAAAGTGAGTGCTGGATGTATCATTGCCGGTGGAATCGGTCCTACAAGATTTATAAATACAATTTTATTAATACAAAGGGTACTGAGTAAATGGCCAATTTGCTGAGTTCAGCAAGATCATAATGATCCTACCGTCTGTTCTCTGTTCTTCCGCTCTTAATATTACTTTGTTAATTAAATCATAGTTTAAAATAAAAATTTTATACTAATTTTTAATTTTTATTTGTTCATAATTTGTGTAAAACTTCATTATTTGGTGTTATCAAGATTATTCTGGATACCATTTTTTGTCAGTAAAATACCATATTTTTAAGTGTCGGATACCATATATTTTTTTTTTCATCTGGCAACACTGATAGCGAATTTGTAATTAGTAACAAAGTCGTGTAGTTCACTGAGCATGAGCAATGAGAACTGATGTGAAGTTTTGCAAAATAAAATATCGTCAGACAGGTTGAACAGAAACATATATATTTTTCTAACACACTAGTAGAAACAATAATAATACTCTATAAAATCATAACTTTAATAAACAAAAACATATTATATTCTTGCAACACGCAACAGAAAAACAACTATTATACTATTCTTTAAAACTGAAATAAATAAATACATAAATATAAACAAAAGTACGTGGCCGAACTCTCAGAGTCCCAGTCGACGTACGGTTCGATAGTCGATTCGCATCAAGGCCACACTCGCATTTCGCATCGCCCATCGGGCCATCTCGCATCTTGCACACCGAACCGTGGCGGTATGTATTCTCAAGTATTATTGTGCGTTATGCGACGATGCGGATGCGAGTAACGAAATTTAAACTGCAGTAACGAATTCGTATTTCGTATCTGACCGACTACCCGTTACTGAGTAACGAATACATAGGGTTTGCCACAGCTCTAAAGTATATCCCCGTTTTTACATTTCCTTTCCCAACTTTTTTAAAGAAAATGTCTTGTTCGTAAGACAGTGTACGCCCAATTAAAATGACAAGTAAATCAATATCTTGTCCTATTATAACTGCAGTTTTTTCAGAATTTGATTCTTCAATTGCAGTTTCAACAATAAGAACATCAGCATTATCTCTGGCTTGTTTAGTAGTAATATTTGCAGCTTGTAATTTTTCAATTAACATATTAATGAGCATATCTTTGTTATTTCGATTTGATAAGAATTTTTCTTGAGTAACTGGTACAACTATTGTTTCATCTTCTCTGCTGCTCCATAGCTTTTACGTTCTTACTGTAATCTGAATTTTTTTAAACAAAATTTGTAGAGAACTTTGTATTCTACAATATTGATAATAAATACAAATAGCAAAAAAACTCATAAAAAATGAGATATTTACAAAAAAGCGCAAAAAACCGATTTTTGTGACATTTGACCTTGAAATTTAATAGTTGCGTACACCCTGCCATATGTAGGTTTTGAGATAACTTTTAGCGTGTCAATATACAAATATTTACAGACTTACAGCTGGGTATCTCCAGTTCCGAGATTCTTACCTAATTTAAGCTTAAATGACTGGACTATCTGGCCATATCTCAGGAATTTTTTTATATTAAAGTAAAACCATTAAAAGAAAATATTTTTAACTTTAAAATTTCAACTTGCTGCTATGTCACACTATATATCATTTATAATATAATTGTGTTTTTCTTAAAAATATCTATATTATTTTAAACCTAACTTTCAGGAAAACTAAACTTTATTTTGAAGTGTGATACATTTCATTTTTTTTTCCTGTGTTAGTTGCAAGGCTTGTAATGGAAAGAAAATGCATACATATGTTTATTTTTGAAGAAAATTCATAGGCAAATCAATGATTCCTCGTGGTTTAGACTGCAGGATATTGTGTTAAGTATGCATTGAATTGTTTAACCTTTTTTGTGACAATTACCTACATTTTTTACACATTATCCTCTGTTTTGTTTTAATTTACGTATTATCGGACTATTTTGAAGCTAATTTGCCACGGTCCCAATTAAATTGCTTTGATACAAATGTACAGTTTTAAAAAATACATTCAAAAATGATATCATTAATAACAAAAATGTTATATTTAATTCTAAAATAGCCATGTGATTTTTTTAATTGTTGAATATCTTATCATAAAATGCCTACTAATATGCTGTTAAAAAAATTATGACTTATTCACAAGTTGTTTTTGTGACAAAATAATAAAGTGACAAATCATAAATACTTTGCTGGGCTGAAAGATAATCGGTGTAGGCAATCGACGCCATTAGTATACAAGCAATGTTGTTCTTTATAAATACTATCCTTCAAATTACTTGACCAAATTTTCAGCCAGATGTATTATTTCGCTTGTGTTTGACAGTCACTGAAAGTGAACATCTTTTGCATTTTTACAAAACAATGAGCTTTGATAACGGTCGTGCAAGCATTTTTGATATTTAGCGTCTATGCTCCAAAAGAGGTCAACACACCGGAAATGATCGATAAAATCCATGGTATGGTGATTGACGATTAATGAGTAACAGTGTGCCAGCTTGCAGAGGATGTGAACATATCACATAAACAAGTGGAAAATAAATTTCATGATTTTTTTTGTGAATAAAAGCTCGCTGCCAAATGGATGCCGCATTTGCTCAATGTTGACAGCAATGCAATCGTGTTTCTACTTCAAAGGAGTGTCTGATAATGTTCGGCCACGATAAGGATTTTTGCACCGTTTTGTAACCATGATCGAAACAGATTCGTCACAGGTAAGCAAAAATGACCACATTTGGTGAAGAAAAAGTGCTTTTCTACCAGGACACCTCACTGACAAACAAAATTGCAGGGATTGCACTACATACTATATTCTTCAGATTTGGTATTATTTCCAAACTTGTTGAAAAATAAATTAAGTTGTTTGGCCTATGCTGGTTATTTTCAGCCCCTCCTTGTACACGATAGGAAGCATGTCATTTGAAGATTCTTAACTATACTTATGGACAATATATATTTTTTTGCAAATGCAGTATGCGAGTATATTGTCAAAATAATTATTGTAATGACATTTTTGGTAAATATATTACATAATATCCAGTTGTCAAAATACGTCAGTATAAAACAACTATAATACATTCAACAGCGGGTTGATTCTCGACTTGTAGGACATTATTCCTATTCGCTCAGTGCGAAGTCATGGTAAGGGAAGCAAATGTGATACTAGCACTAGCTGCGGATAATTCATGCATTTTAGGGCGATATTTTGTAATTTTTGCATATCAAATACTTATACATTTTACTTTTTTATTCAAAAAAGAAGGTAAAAACAATACAACAAGCAACTGGAGTTGCTGTGTTGAAAATTGTAAAAATACTAGCAAAAAAACTAAATTATAAAAATGTTCAGTAGCAAAGTGGAAATTAAATCAAAGAAATAAATAGATAGGAGTTCAATAGGAAGAAAAATTACCTTCATTTTGTAATAATAACAGTAATACTAGAAATAGTAGACATCAGAAACTTGAAAGGTTTTAAATAAACAATAAATTATCACTTTAATCTTAAATGTTCTGCAAGAACCAGATTTTTGCCTTTGATTATTGTATGTAGCTGGAATACAATTTTGTGACTTACTGATAGGAAACCAGTTTTAATCATTCATTATGTTTTCTTTCGAACAAAAATGAACATATAAATAACAATCCTTCTGTTTATACATTTTAACTTCACGCTATTATTTAATGGTATTTTTTTATTTTGACAGAATAGGTTAATTCTTCAAAGACAACTTATTAGACTTAGGCAACTTTTCATACATTTTTCCGTAAATACTGTTGCCTGTCTATATTTTATTATTGATTTTTATTGATTATACTTAATTTTTTTTTTTTAGTTTAAGCGATAAAAATATATAATAAATTTATGTTTTACTTGTTTAAAAAAATCCATATACTTTTATTAAAACTAACATATATACTTTTTAATTACGAATTCTATTGAAAATTGTATTGTCAGTATACGCAAATATAGTCCATTAGTACATAAATGAATTGGCGCTGCTGTCCCGCACGGAGCGAATAGGAATTTTTGACATTTTTATATGTATATGAAAATGTCATGAATTTCCTATACCTAGAAAAATCTCAAACATTCCTATAGGAAGATTTCTACAACTCGAGAATCGATTTCCAGCAAGGTTGTGGAGTTGTTTTTGTTTTTGACATTATTTTGATCCAATTGTTTCGCTACTCATTGTTTATTTCATTGTGTATTGAAATTATTTTTCACAATAAAAATGATTATATTTTAGCCAGGGCTGGGCTAGTGCTATGGCTGTTGTACGGCCTTCTTACGTCAAAGTTATTTGCCCTACCGCCCCTACAATGTCGGTCACGTTGAATGCTGGTTTCCGCATGCCATGTTGGTTTGATCTGAAGACATTAGATGAATCTGGCCCAGAAGATGAACCAGGTAAAGTATCTAACATTATAGTCCAGGAGACGGTGACAATTTGCTAAAGTACTTTATAAATGGGAAAATGCAAAAATTGACTGTTATAGCTCAAAGAAAATTAAACAATTTAATTTTTAACTCCAATAGAAAAAGTTTTAGAACGTGCGATATAAATGTTGCAAATAAGTGGTATTATGTTAATTTTAACATTTTATATTCAAAAATATTCTCACAGATGAAATTTTTATATTTTTTAATACTAATTATTAATGGTCAGAGATGCTACCAACGAGACTAGTGTGCATTCACGTTCTCGCGGCAGTTAAGCCGTGATGTTTCTGGTCACGTCTTGGATGGGTTACCATTAGCCAACTAGCGGTTAACCATTGATGACTTTTAATGAATGGGAAAGAGTAGGGTATCCAAATGGTGGCACAATAGACCACCTGTGTCTCAGTGACCCCTTGCGAACCCCCAGAGGAGGGAAAGCAGACTGGATCCCAAGCCTAATTGAGGGAGTCTGTCGGAATCCTTCGGGGGGAGCAGAGGGATGTCTGAAAGGGTGATAAAAAAAATGGTTAAGAAAACGCTAAAGAATAACACTAATTATAAATATTTTTTTTGTAGGAATCAAAAATGCTACAAAACATATTCACGCCCTCATAGAAAGCGAAGTTTCAGCGGGTATACCACCGGAGAGAATCCTTGTAGGAGGATTCTCTCAAGGAGGAGCTTTGGCATTATATTCTGCACTTACTTATCCTAAGAGATTGGCTGGAGTTGTAGCTCTCTCCTGTTGGTTACCATTGAACAGATCCTTCCCAGGAGCTAAAACATTGAATAGTGATTCCTTACCAGTAAGTACAATGTACATTGTGCAACATTGATTATTTAAAATTTAACGTAACAAAATGTAAAGGTACCTTTAATTTTTAGAGGGTTTTTCTTGGTCATGAATTTTTATTTTATTATTTATTTAGACTTAGATGTTCAGGAGTTTCAAGTATCTTTTTAGCGCTAAAATATTACAATTAAATAAATCACAGTCAGAGTAAAATTTATTATAGTTCTTGCACAAGTGATCCATAAAAAATGCTTTGTGAATATGAATAAATGTGCATTATATTTTTTATTTATTTTTAGATTTTACAATGCCACGGCGATTGTGATCCAGTTGTCCCTTACAAATGGGGCCAAATGACAGCATCCGTATTGAAAACGATGATTAGAAACATCGATTTTAGGTCATACAGGGGTTTGACACATACATCATCTGATGAAGAGCTAAACGATGTTAAACAATTTATAACTAAACACCTTCCTAGTCAATAGAATTCTCCGAATACATAAAGTTATTTCAATTTTCAATCATAAATGAGTTCGAAAATATATTGGTAGAATAATTTATTTATTAATTTGACCATTGCCAGTGATGTGCTGAGATTATGCAATATATGTTTTTAGGTTAGGATATTTTATCATTGAATTACTTTTTCTCCTTGCACTTGTCATTTGAGATTTTAACCAGAACTAGTTGTATTACACTTTAGGTATAGTTTTTCGACAAATATGGAGAGAAAGGTATTAGTCCTTGCTGAATTAGATCTACAAGTTTAAATTTATGAAATAGTTGCACCTTTACGAAAATAAAAAAAAAATGTTGATAAATTACAGGGTTCAATGGAAAGTTATCAAAATTGAAAAAAAAAATGTTTCTATAAATACTATTTTCATACAGATTATGGCAAAAAATATAAATAAAAAAATTTATAGAATTTAATATATATACAAAGTGTTTCTTTAACCAAAAATAAGACGTGTTTGGCGATGCTTTGTTTCGAAGATACAATTTTACAATCAATTATTATTATTGTATCTGAAACTCTAATAAGTCAGTAAAGATGACGCTTAGCATATTGCACACTAGATTTTTTGTGGATTTATTTTAAGCTTGATATTCTACAGAGTTTCATAAAATTGCATCTCCTAAACGAAACTGAAATTCAAAAGATATTAAACAGTGCTTTTCATTAGTCATTTTAATTATCTAACTAATTGTGCTATCAAAAAGTGAAAAAGTGGTGTTTACACCCTTTTATTGCTAAAGTATATGCTTTTTTAATTTTATTTAAATTATTAAATAAGCAGTTTCGGAAATATTTTGAAAAAAAAAAAACGAACAAAATTATAAATGTTAACACTCGTATTTTTGAAACAAATCTGCCATGTTGATAAAAACTATTCATCTTATTTTTGGGTAAGGAATCACCCCACTATATATTTGAAATACTATAAAAATATATTTTCGAATTCAAATGTCAAAATTGTTCTAAAATTAACTTAACCCGTAGATTCCCTCCATGTAGCCAAAACACTAGTTATAATAGATTGTGTATTCTTTTAATGCAGTTCTTCCACAAAAATTGAAGTTAGATGAATATACCATTCCGTTTAAGTTAATTTGAGAACACGTATGAAACAATGTGGTTTTATCAGTAAGCATTCCTAAGTTTACAGTAACTTAACCCTACCTGAGACCACGAACAATGCTTTTAATTTATTCAATAACCATGTGAATAAAATTATGAAAGAAAAACGTCTTTTTATTTAACAAAATCCTTTAAAAACCATTTTTTTACATGTTCCACGCGGTCCCATGGCAACTCCCCGGGGGTACGCCAGCTGACTGTCACTTTTGTCGTCTTTTAAAATTTATCAATGATTACAGTTAAGAATCTAGCGGTAGAAATTTTGAAAGTTTGTATGAGAGTATCGATTTTTTTAAAGGTAGGAACTTGAAAATTGTAATTGAAGCTACTCATCACAAATAAATAATGACGTGTTTTAGGGTTTTTTGGTTTTCATATTTTAAACGGAAAGGGGAAGGTGAAAGTGGTATATTTTTTTAAAGGTAGGAACTTGAAAATGGAATTATAGCTACTCATCATAAATAAATGTAAACTATGTTAATTAATTTTAAATGAAATAAATCGGATTTTAATATAGAATCAAATTTAATCGGTGTTAAGAATAATAATACATAAAATGAAGCGTATCGAATGAATGTCTATGTAAGAATGCCGTGCTAATCACCAAATATTCTTATGTGCGAGATCCAGTCGATTAGCTGAATAGCAAATTATTCGTCAGATACAACTTTTAAATTGTTCACTGGTTAACTAGTTTTCTGATAGTTCTCACGTATTTTTAAAACACCCGAACAAGATTATTATTTCTACCCTTTAGAAATATGAACCGAAAGAAGAGACACCATCTCAAAATAGGGTACGACTAAAGAATAACGTGTACCAAAATTACAATTTCTATGTCTAACCGTTTTCAACAAAAAAAAAAAACTATTTTCGCCATTTTAAAACTTAAATATCTCGACAGAGAGGACATAAATTGCAAAATTTTATAAAAAAAAAGATTGGTAAAACAACTCAGTTAAAATATTTCAACAAAATTACAGAACGCCCTGTATTGTCCATATTTGAGATTTTTAAATGTTAGAATAAAATTAACTCTAAAGGGACAAAGATAATAATTCTTGATGCAAACATTAAGGTTGTATGCAAAGAATAATTTTAATATTAACTTAAGTAACTTGTTTAAAAAAGTTTTTTATAAATAAAATAATCTTAAAACTCATTTTTAGGGTACGTACCCGAAGGATAACCAATGGGACCCTATTACTAAGCCTCCGCTGTCCATCTGTCTGTCAGCCAGTTGTATCTCATGATCCGTAATAGACAGACAGTTAAAATTTTCGCAGAATATGTGTATTTCTGTTGCCGCTATAACAACAAATAATAAATTAAAGTGGATTTCCCTACTAGAAACGTTTTTTTGGCTTTTTTTGCTCGATCTGAAGTATTTAAGAAGTATCTACATATTATTAAATCTTGTACGATGGTGCGGAATCCTTCATGCGCGAGTCCGACTCACACTTGGCCGGTTTTATTTTAATTTATGTACACTTTTAAAAAGTATCACACATTTAACGGTTTTTTTTTTTTTTCATTCAGTCTTTACAAATAAAATTATATTTGATCAATTTTAAAATTATGACATAATCTAGTCTATAACACAATAAAATAAAAAGATAAACTAAATAAACAGATAAAAACAAAATAATTCTTTTTTTATCCAAATTCAACAAAACATAAAGATAAAATAATCCTTTTTTTATCTAAATCCAACAAAATATTTATAAAGACGACCATGACTACCTTACAGTGCTTACACCTTTGTATCAAGTTGTAAATTACTTTTCCGGGAAAGACCCATCACTACTTCGAACACTTCTACTAGATTAAATCAAAACTGTTTTTTAACATGCACGATTTTTTCCTTATCCTATTAAAAAAAATGGAGAACATATTTTATATTTTGAAGCAAGAAATAAGTTTACTTTAAATGATCTATTTTATATAGAAAGGAATTGAAATACCTATATTCAAATATTTTAGATAGGTTTCATGCTTTAGAGAAAATACAAAAAAGACCAGGCGGCTTTCGAGAAAAAAAAAATGTCAAAACAGTCGCGGGAATTTACTTAATTTACAGAAACAAAACATAAAGCTGAATGGGAGTACTAATATCAACCCTTCCGCAGACACAAAAAAAAATGCTTGCAATTATCGTCTTAGTTTTCCAATGGTAAACGATAAACTAACTCAGTGTTACCAATGGAACACAAATCATGCGCTGAAACTATCCGAATGTTACCAAGGGCAAACGCTTAGATTCAGAAAAAAACGCGTTTAAGCTATATCCCGAATTTCATTGAAAAATGTAAATATCCGGTCATGTGGCCAAAATACCTACACCGCAATTAGCAAAACCGGTGGACAGAAAATACCAAAAGGATTTTTTTAGGAGCATACTGTGACGAGGTGGCTAGATATTACTATCATTTCGTTATAAAATGTTTAGTTCAAGTTGATTTTCGCCTGTTAGGGTATTCAAGAACACACGTAATTTTCATTTCTTAAAAATTCCCGTTTTTAAACATTTGCGAGAACTCCCGTTAGTTCAAAATATATAATTCTTTACTAAAATTCGAACCAAATTCGTGTGAATTATCTGGTCATTTAGACAGATGTCAAAAAGGATGTTTTTTCAGTTCTATAGGAAGTAAACAATAGATACTCCCACTCGTAAACCAAAACCAAACCAGTTCGATCGTAAAGTATAAAGCCTAGATCCCACTAAATTCAGTCTCTTTCCAGTGCGAGTTTCCGATGATTTTAAGTAACATCGTCACCGTTAATGTCGTTTTTTTTTTAACTTCACCATTCGTGAAAACTGTGGAAAACTTAGGTATGAGTCTTTCACTATAAGCCTTCTATTAAGGTTTATTTTATGGTTCTCCTGATCGACCTTCGTCGTGTTAAATATTAGCAAAGAAATCCTTTTTTATGGCCCGAGAAAATTGATCGTTCCCAGTTCTGTATTTTGTACCGTTTCGTAACAGAAGCGAGGCCAGTAATCTCGCAGACTTGTTTCAACGACTAAATTTCTTAATATCCAAGGTATCCCGAGTCAATAGACCCTCCATCACTCCGTTAATCAGTGAATGTTTAATTCGCTCTTAACCGTCGACCAGAAGACAATGGTGCACTCTTATCAAACGTATTATACCGAATTACTTTGAAAATTACCTTTTAGATGGAAACCGACAATTAAAATATCTGAATCTTAGTAAAGTTTATTATTTCCAAAAATCCGACCATAATCCCTGGGTTAACACCCTCAAGCTAATCAACGTCGCAATCGCGTTTTGAACTATCGTCGAGAAAATATTTCTTTTCGATAGTAATGCCGATTGAAATAGATTATTTAAGAATGACATTAATTGTATTCAAACTATTGATTTTGTAAATATTACGTTAAATAACTTTTATTAGGAATACCGTGGATATGATCGTGTATTATTGATTTATTTTATTTGTCGCAGCTTTATTACAACGTATTAGGATATAGTGTGCTTCGAAAATAATTTTAAAATGCAGAACTAAGGTTTCCTATTTCGAAGTTTTAATTTAGTAAACCTTTTCATCGTGTTGATTATACTGTTAATAGACCTGGAGGTTTTCACCGCTGATTAGAGATACTGTGGGTATATCCGTGTTGGTGAGTTATTTCTTTTTAACTTTATTTACAGCTACGAAGTTTTAATTTTGTAAACATTTTCATTAGGTTAATAATTATACTGCTAATTAACCTGGAGATTTTCACCGCTGCACAGTGTAACGATGTAATGGTAAAAGTTTTCAAAAACTCGTTTTACAGTTTCATCAGCAAAATTTTTATTAACTACAAATTAAAGACACTGTATTATTTTACAAAAAAATATAAATTATAGACTTTTATCATAACATAACACAAGCTACTACGTAAAATATTAATTAATTTTTTGTGCGAAAAAGAACAGTATATAAAGAGTTTTACAGTCAATTGTCGATCACAAAAAAGTCTGAATCAAATAGAGGATAGCACGAAACAAATAAATTTTGTTTCTCGATACTTTTTATTCCCCTTTAAGATATTTGTAACGTAATCGCATTATGATTTGACATAACAATCCTTACTCGGAATCTGATGTAATATCTTCATCGGAAGCTGAAAATTCTATTTCAGATGGAACCACTGTATCGGTTGTTTAAATAATATATTGAGGAATCTCTTGGGTGTTTATGAGTCACCGTATTACGCAAAGAGGACAGCCTAGGATCAGATGATAGAAGAAGCCGAGTCATGAGATCTTCATTGGTATTACGAGATGATTTTCTTGTGTGCTTCTCTCTATACCTACGAATATCTTTGTCTCCCTTCCAATGCTTGCTCAGACAATTGTCCAATAGGAATAAAAATGAAGATATATCAGATCCATGAATTAACAGTTTGTGTAAGGAAACGGGCATGTAATACCACGAATAATTATTTAAATAAATGTGCTGTTTCTGAAAGTAGCTCCTTAAATTGATCAATATTTATCTGCTTGCCACTGGATATAACTCTCAGAATAAGAGATAAGTTAGATATTAATGCAACATCGATTCCTACAATTTCAGCACTTAGTGAAGCATTGTTAAAAAAAATTCTGGCAGTGTTGCCATCATTAGTTGACCCGAAACCAGGTTTCTTACAAATTTACTTTATCGTGAATTTCAGAAACATTAATTTCTTTCAGAAGTATATGACCCGAACACATTTCATAGAATAATAGCTAGGAAGTGCATTTGGGTGTATTTGATTTACAACTTTCTTTAAAATATTATATTTGTGAACATCGAGATCTAAGTCTAAGTATAATGCTAATGCTTGCAGGGGAGAGAGAATTTTTTTTGTTTGAACTGTCTTACTATTCGATATATCAGTTGCAAACAAAACGAAGCTCTGTAGAAGATTTAGTACGTAATAAATCAGCAACTCTCCGCTTCTTGGAAATGATAACTCGGTAAAATCTTTTTCAGGTCGCCGTCTTTGATATCCACTTGTTCTCGGTTGAGCTTTAGCAACTTTTTGGGAGTTTAAGTACGTTCTCACGCAGTCCTCAAGAGAAATTAATTTATTTATCCAAGTTTGATACATAGAAATATTTTCGCAGTACGACTACACCGATCCAATTTCGTCTGAAGTTGCAAACAAAGAAACCGAGAGCTATTACGAATACTTTTTTGTATTATGTTGGAAGATTCTTCTAATCTTAATTCCTTTAAAATATATGAGTTTAAGGCTGATAATCTGTCGGATTTTGGAGTGTTTTTTCATATTAGGAAACAATCGCGATATGTAATCCCATGACTTGCTGCTGAAAAAAAATCATATCTCCTAAGTTGGCAGCAATATACAAATAAAATTGTAACAGTGAAAAGTTTATTCAACGACCTACTTTTCAGCCAAAAATAAAAAATATATATTTATTGATTTTTTTCAAAGCTTTGAGAAAGTAGACTAATTCGTTATTTTCATAGAAAAAAAAAATAAAAAAATAATACTCGCCCATGCTTTAGATTTTTGCAAATCAATACCCGCTAAATTTACACTTATAGGTACATAAAACTCTTAAGTTTCACAACAAAAGAAACTAGTGGTATTACTTCTACACCTTCGTGCACGATTCCAAAAGACATGAAAATCTCGTATCTGTCGCAACCCCTCTTACATAGTGCCACTTAAGACAGGTTGTATCTTGTTTAACCTCTGTTATATGACTGTCTCAACTTGCATAGCGAATGATTTGACATGTTTTACGAATATTGGTATTACTTACGAATGAAAACGAAATACTTGCTTTTGGGATTGTTGTACACAGGTAGTCACACTGCGCTGATTGGAAATACCATGGGTATTATTGATTTATTTTTAATTATATTTCCACGAAACTTTAAGTTTGTAAATAGTTTTTATTAGGTTAATTATACTGCTAATTAACTTGAAGGTTTTCACCGCTCATTAGGAATATCCGTATTTATTGGTTTATATTTATTACTATAAGGAAAAAGATAACTTTATTTAAATTTATGATAATATATATATAAAAAAATGAATTTGTACTTAATCATATTTCACTCGCAAATAATTTCCAAAAATCCTAGCCTATACTGTTTAGAATTTGTGTTTCTTATCAATACTTTATTTCTTTTTGTTGCTAATAGTTTCATTAGAGAATTTGAAGTAATATATCCTATGGCTGTACTTTTCGCAGCTAAAAAACTGAAGTCTCCATGTTTGACAAAGCCCATCACTTCTCTGGAACATGAATGTCTAATTTTTGTTGATTCAGGTAACCACAACTTTCTCATTTTGCTTGTATAGTTTTTTAATATATCCTTATCTATTGGTATGAGCTGAAAAATAAATATATAATATTCATAACCCATAAAATACTCATACACAATTTATGTCTTTTAATACTGTCGTGCAACCAGTCCGAACCTCTTCTTTGTTAACCCCACACCTGACACCAATGTAACGATTGTTTATTTTAAAAATAGTTTATTTATACTCAAGCACTATTTATATTTCACATTTCTAATTTAACAATTTATCTTTATTCGACATTTATTTTAAAACTTAACTCTGTACGGTAAAATAATTCACTTATATACAGAAACGTTACAGCCTAAAAAAAAATCCAATCCTGACTAGAAGAATCTCGATGCGTTCGTGAAGTCCTTCCTCAACACGTCGGTGTGCGTACAAAAAAACAGTCCCCAGTCGATTTTCGTTCGCCAGCGTCAGCAGTAACGGCAGCGGTGTAGATCAACAAAGAACAGGGTCGGACTGGTTTCACGACAATACAAATTATTACATTATAGTTAGCCACATACTTCTCCTTTATTTTTCCCTCTCTTCCTTTTTCTTTTCAATCTTCTTAACAAGAATTTATGTTCTTTTCTCATGTCTTTTCTTGCTTTTTCATTAGGATCATTACAATTGGGCTCTACTGGTTCAACAGACAGATCTCCATCCTGTGGCAAACATATTATTGTAAATTGTTTACAACAGCCTCTTTTTAATAAAGTAACTTTTATTGGTATCAAGCAATTTTCTGACAGGGGTTCTAGTGATTGAGTGTTTTTTGAATTTTTGCAGAATGTATCCTGAAAACATGATAAATGTGACATAATATTTTTATGACTACACAGTATTTATTAAAGTTTTTTAAATTACTGGATTTAAAATCTTCCATATGAAATTTTAAATAAAATAATTTTTTATAAATTAATTACATACTTGTAAACTTTTTAGCAACTTTTTATCCCTCAAAACGAAAAAATCTGTTTCTAAATTTCCACTATGAGACCATTCCTTTAACAGCAATCTCCAATTCCATTCAAATGGACTTGAAATTTTAAATTTCGCAAAATTTGTCCTTTTATTTGGAGGCAATCTAAAAAAATGCTCTTTCATTTTCGAAGATACTTCATTTTCTTCTTGTTCTCCAGCTAAACTATCAGGGCATAAGTAATGTTGTGAACCAGATTCAAAAATCATTCGATCATTTTCTCTTAAACCACCTGATCTGCCACCCCATATTATGAGAGATAGCCAAATTGGTTGGGCCCAAGATGAAGGCAAGATGATATCCCAACCACTTCCATATCCTTTGAAATAATAGAAGATAACATTTTTAGTGACAATAAAACAATGACAATAATATATAAATAAAAGTTTTTTGGTTATATTGGTCACAATGGCTATTTATACAACCAGTTACAAAATGCCTTATTTTATGTAATGAGTGAATATTTGTAGGATAAGCAGAGCGAGGTCCCGCAACATAAAACGGCATTTCGTGACGTGTTTTCTAATTTTGATTGAATTATAAACTTGTTTGGTAAAAAATGATTAACTGAAATTTTATAAAAAAGAATATTTGGTAAATGTAGAGAAAAATGTAGCATTTTATATAATTTGATTTATTTAAATATTTCAAATATTAAAAAAAAAGTCAATTATGTATGTTTTCGTTCACTTAAAAAATTATAATATTGTATATCTATGCAACCAATATTACGTTTGTATTGTAAGTTGGCATACCTTATAACTTACATAGGCATATATTATTTAGAAAATAAAAATCATAAATAATTTTTCTCAACCACTACTTGTTGTCGAGTGGTTTTATTATTATAGCTTGTTAGTTTTCAAGAAAGTGCGTTATTTTGTCGTGTATTAAGATTGGAACCGAAACAGAATTATTACTAGGTTGTAAGTTCATTAATAGACTCTATTTTTATTCATTTTCTTTTCGCAATTTGTGACAATTAATTTTTCGTGACCAATTTCATAATCTTCAACTTTATATAACTGGTTGCATAAAGTAAATCATTTTTTGCTGCGATTACAAAAGATATCACCTTATATGTCAAAATTAGAAAAACAAATTTTTAGTTACTAAGCACTACATAATATCTTCTGGTATAGTCAATTTCATCATTTCATGAAAAAAACATCAAAGGACAAACAAATTTAATGTTTTTTTTTTTTAAACAAGCGAAACCCAAAGGTTATTTTACAAGGAATTTTGGTGGGCAATCTTTAGGAATTAATTAGTAGCGAATTTTGAAAATTAGTCGAGAAATTCTGAGAATTAGTAAGAGAATAGTGGAAATAGTGAGGAATTAGAAAGAAATTAGAAGAAACTGAAAGCGAATTAGTAGATTGCGCAACTTCGATTCGCATAAAAACTAACACGTGATCGCTGTGCTGTCTTTAATTTTGATTCGCCAAGTGCATGGTGTGAGTAAGCTTTACAAAATGTCATAGAGGACATGAAACATTTTGGAATCGATGCAAAATAAAACGATTGGAAATATATATGCAGGTATCATTAATAAGACTGAAACAAAATATCAAACTTTCACGAAAACGAAGACATTGACAAAGATGAGGTTGGAGTAGATGAAAACTTTGAATAAAATTAAAGACCAAGATGTGGCAAAAACAAATATTATTAGTAATGAGGATTATATAGTTATGAACTTAATTTCGAACGAGATTTCTAATGAAAAGCGCAAAGTGCATAAATTTATCAGAAAAATATATATAAAACTCATTGTCGGTAAAATATCTTCAATTATTAAAAAGTCATCGTTTTTAGATCAGTCTAATGGTAGAGGAATAAATAAACTAGAAAAATTTTGTTTATTTTTATAATATAAATATATCAAGTACTTTTACTTTTAGTTCTAGAGTCAACACACAGGCTTGTGTCTTAATTTCTTATGATTTAATTTATTATTAAATTGTACTATGGTACGTGTCCAATCAAGTTACGAAAGAACGTCGTTCAGAGTGGGGCGCTTAGGTGGCTATAGGTATTACAAGTGGTAAGCGCCTCTCAAAAACTTGACTTATTTTTTTAATATTTTCGTTATGCTCATTTGACGATAAGTACCCACCTACAAGTTGAAAGACGAATTGAACGAACGTGAGAAAAGGGCTAATAATTTTTTAATATTTAATTTACCGGAATCTAACTCCAATACAATCGATTCAGAAAGGGTTAATAACTTGATTAAACAAGCTGTAGGAGAACCAGTAAACATAGAAGTTGCAAATATCTTTCGATTTGACAAGAAGAATAAAAATGGAAACTGTCCTATCAAGGTTATTTTATCAAGCACTCACAATGTTCACAAAATATATAAAAATAAGCAAAAAAAAAATTCAGTCACTTGGACCAAACTCGTAAACAGAGGGATGTTCTAGAAAATGGAAGAAGTTCCAGGCATCTAAAAAATTTATTATTGACAAAATATAAAAATTATTGCACTCCAAATTATCTAAACTTTGCCTTAATATCTCAAATTGTTCCTATGATATAATTATTGTAAACCATTTTTTTGTCCTAGTTTACTTAATACATTTGGTGAATTTGTAAAATTAGGGGAATTACTAGAAGTTTATATGGAATTATAATATATAAAGGACATTAGTAGCGGTCTGCCCTGAGTTTACCTCTCTGTGAAAACCTTATATTTTTAAGCTATTGCATAGCTTTTATCGCGGGCTTTGAGCGCGGCGACCAAATCAAGAAATTCCGTAACGACCGTAACGAAAAAAACCTAACATCCCCCACTCCGACCGGCACAGCGGTGCGGCGTTGAAAGCAGTGCATCGTCTAACGTCGTTTCAATTCGGCAGACTTCGGAACGGTGTTTGTGTGCGTGCGACTAGACATATGCATGTAGACTAGCTGCTAACTGCTCATAACTGATTCTATCTCTTTTAGACACAATTTCGGAAAAATTGAATTTGAAAATGAATATTGATCCACAAGAATCCACAACAAAATATGGGACCACCATTGACGCGGTATTTTTCAGATATTTAGAGGATATCAAGTCTCAAACTTATGTTTCTTATTTCAGTTACCATAAACCTATAGTTTCAATGATACAAATTCCTGAATAACCTACATGTATTGTAAGATAATAAAAATATTTTAAACAATATTAACCTCTCATTTATTCATAAAAGAAAAAAAAAATTGTTTTCTTATCGGTCACCATGCTCAAAAAGTGTAACTTGAATTAATATCAAAGAAAAAACTTGAATTAATATCAGAGAAAAAAAATACTGCAAAAATAAATAAATAATTATAATTGCATAAGTTGATACAAAATGCTATGCAATAGCTTTACCGCGGCAGTCCCCGAGTGCCACACGTATTTTTGTTTTACATCATGTGCGAGATCATGTGTAGGTGTATTTGAAATATAATTTTTGGTTTAACAAAACTAAAAAAACTTATTACCCTTGACTTTTTTTAATTTATTTGTGACCAATATAAAAATAACTTTTATTTTTATTATCTCTGTTCAATTAAAATAATAGTTTTAACAATATTTTTTTACCCATCTAATATTAAAATCTGTATTATTTTTTACTAAGAGTGAAAAATTAGTTTATATCTATACCTATTTTAAGCAGTGAAGTATGCTACCCTGCTAAAACAAGAGGGTGTATCTAGAAAAATTGTGATATCGAGATTTTTACACATTTGGTAAGCTTACTTTTTATTTTATTACATTTAATATATTGTCATGATGACAAAATAATATCACTCTATTGAAAAAAGACAAATTTCCTACCTCTGTATTCCATTTGCTTTCTTCCAGGCCTTTGTACCAACAAAATCGGTATTTTCACAGGAGGTTCATCTAAATCACTTCCTGGCACTAGTAATTGTTGTCTTAATTCAGCTAGTTTAGCATTAGATATTTTGCTTTTTTTCACAACTTTCCTGATATTTTCATCCCAAAGGGGACATTCAAAAAAATTTACCCTCGATGAAAGGTTACAATTGTTTATGGTTTCTAGTGGTAATGCTTTTGTTCTTTTTTTGGGGAAATTGTATCTAGGATCTGTGATTATTAACGGTAAAACAATATGAGGGGACACCTCTGTAGGTGAAGACACGAATTTTAGCTTCTCCCAATAATCATGAGGGGATGTAAAAGGCTGAGAAGTTGAATTGTTTAAATAATTCTGAACCCATTCTGGAGTTGCAGATGTGTTTTCTGCTAACTTAAAACTGTTTTGAAGAATTGCATTAGAAAGTGGCCCTGTTAATCTGAATCTACTAAGATCCCATTTTAAAACTTTTAAAGTCAATTGATTGTTAGAATATTTCTGTACATTCCCATCATCAATAAGTAAGCTCTCATCAACAATAAGTACACTTTCATCAATAAGTACACTCTCATCTTTAATGCAAGGTTTAAAATGAAGAGTTTTAGTAAAAACATCTAATAACTCATTATAATAAGCAGCATGACACCACAGCCACAGAGTTCTTTCTTTGCTATTATCACAGTTCGGTTTCCAGAGAAATTCAACTTTACCAATGGCCTTCCTATTTTCAGGTCTAAAAAGAATTGTATTTCCTTCTCTTAAACCACCTATGAAGGACTTAGCAGCTATTGATAAACCTGTATTAGAATCTGTAATTTTTTTAAAACAATCAACAATATGATCAAATTTTCCAACAATTTCTATACAGTTACAAAAGGATATATCCTGTACCAAACAATGTTTAATTGTAGCTCTATAACAAGCTCTAAATGCTCTATCACAAGGTGAATGTGGAATTCTATAACCCCATTTTTCAATCATGTGAAATCTCTTAGCATGCCAGATATGTGTGTTTAGCCAAGTAACTCTTCTCTGTCGTCTTACAAATTCACTTGTTAAAGTGTAAGGTCTACGTCTGTACTTTCTAGAAGGACGTTTTTGTTTTGGAGGTAGTCCAGACTTTAATTGTTGGTTTAAGTGGATTTCTCGCAATCGTCTTGGTAGTCTCTTAACATTATGAGACATTGCTCTTCTTCGCATGTGTCTAGGAAGTTTTTGAAAAGCTAATTTAACTGCTGTGGTAGTAGATAGAGCTTTGTTCATTACTTGAATTTCTCTTATTCTGGATGCAGCAAATTTATGCATTGCTAAGAAGTTTGGTATATCGGCGTTCTCTACTTCTAAATCTGACATGTTTGTTCAGTTTATTCTCTCTTTTTAAAGTAAATTAATGTATAAATGTATCTTCTAGTTAAAGTTTAGCAAATTGAAATCTAACATAACCTCAAAAAATCACGAGCACACGCAGCCGCCAAAGACACCTCGGAGCAGTGTTGCCAGAATATATTTTTGTTATGTACTAGATATGTCTAAAAAATGTACCAGATTCTATCAAATGTACCAGATTTTCGAATTGTAATGTGGTTTGGTTCATTGAGGAGAAAAAAAAAGTTTTATTTCGAACGTAAACAAAACAAAAACGGAAGATCCCATCCACAGTATATCTAATCATAATACTGTGTCCCAACAATATATTTTAAACGTGTCAAAACGCTAGTTTAGTGATGATGTAATTATGGTTCCACCATAGCATGCTAATGAGTTGCACGATACAGTCTTTGTATCGTGGATAAGTTGTCAATTTTGTCAGTTTTTTTGAGTAAAGTCCGTGGTAAAGTCACATACTTTGTAAAAGTTCTCCAATTTACAAAAGAGAAACTAGTAAACGACGAACAGTGGGTAGCAGTTTTTGGCAGTTCAATTAACGAATGTGCCGTTACAACGTCAAATTTTTACCATAAACTTGCATGAGAAGGGTTGGCTTGGCAACACTGCATGAACAAAAAAGGTTAAGTTCTAAGTTTTTATGTCTGTTTATTTATTATATTGAATTTTTAATTTAAACAGTAAATTATCAATTATAAAAATACCATAAAAAGTTTTAAATTACTTTAAGAATACATAGTGATTATAAATTTTCAAGAGAAAGAAACATGGATCAACGAAGTCTTCAAACCCGTTTAGAAATATGTTACAAAGTGTATGAACTATACAGTGATATTTTGAACTCCTATGTAGCGGATTACTATGTAGAGAATCATTGGAATAAATTATCTACTTCTTGGAAGCAATACTTTAACAATATTGAAGTTAATCAGCTTAGTAATATTTTGAATTTAGGGAAACCTCTTGACAATCAGATGTATCCTTTAACTTTACTTTGTTTACGAAATATAATTACAAAGTATACTTTATCAAGAAAAATGGTTACTCCTATAAGTGTTTCACCTAGTGTTATTGATAATAAATTTATGAATTTTTTCTGGAAGAATGTAAAATTGAAGAAAAGACATGAAATAGATGTAATGTCTAAATTATGTTATGATTTGGCTATAAAAACAAAATGTTTTCATATTGTTGATATTGGCTCAGGACTAGGCCACCTCAGCAGGATGCTATCTTATGGATATGGTTTCTCAGTGTGTACTTTTGAAGCAGTTGATGCACTTACAAATCTTGCAACTGCAATGGACACAAATTTTGAAGAAACGTTAAACAAAAGAAATATAAAGCATAAGAGTACTTTTAGAACTGTTCATATAAATAAAAAGATTAGTACAGAGTTAATTAAAACTGAATTTTTAAATTTGGTTATTCAGGCTTTTAAGAAAAATATAAAATTTGGATTAGTTGGTTTACATCCTTGTGGTGATTTGGGTACTCTACTACTTAAACTATATACACATTGTCCTAATATTGTGTACATCAACATAGCCAGTTGTTGTTACATGAAGATAACTTTAGAACCCTTAGATGAGGCATATTTTCCATTAAGTCAGTTCTGTAAAAATAAACATATGACTTTGTCATACTTAAGTTGTGAAATAGCTTGTCATGCTATTGAAAATTACTCAGAAAAACTAAAGAATGCAGAGGAGTATCAGAAATTAAAAATTCATTCTTACCGAGCTGCCCTTGAAGATATTTTAGTAACAGCAGATCCAAATTTAAGACATTCTATGATTTGTGGAGCTAAATGTGATAAAAACTTAACTTTTAAAAAGTATGTTGAAAAAGTCTGTGATAAATTACATATTATAGCTGATGAAAAAATTTTATTATATGAAAATATTGTTAATAACACTTGGAATAAGGTTGTTTCCTTCTACTCTGTTAGACTGCTATTAGCACCTGTTGTTGAAAATATTGTTTTATTGGATAGGTTGTTATATGTACTTGAAAGTGGAAGTTTCTGCAAGATTTTGCCCGTTTTTGATTGTAATATTTCTCCAAGAAATCAAGTCTTATCAGGTGTTAAAATTAAAAAATGACAAATACGATTTACTTTTTATTTCAAATACCTACAAGGGATACCTGCTTATGTCTATGTTTATTAATTATAAAAATCCTGTCAGTGGTGGGATTCGAAACCATTGCCCTTGGATCTGGAAATGCAGACTCTATAACCACTGGGCCACCCGCTTCCTCCCTAGTATAAACATACCAGAATTAATTTCAGTAACTTCATCTGAAAAAAATAGTTAAAATGAAAAATAAATAAAATTTAACTATGATGTATAGACTTAAAAGCGTTCTTTATAGTTCCCTACTTAACACTTGTGACAGAAAAATTGACACGAATTGGCTGGTTTAGAGGTGAACACCCCTTTCTACCGAGAAACACCTTTCCGAGTTTTATTTTCCAAAGATTGAGATATAAGCAAGCGATAAATAAGCCATTTATTAAGAATACCAATTTTTGTACAATAAAAAGGAACGAAAAAATGTAAGAAAAAAGTACAATGTAAATTAATGAAACATTTTATTAATTCAAACAAAAATACACTAATTAGCTTACATCCCTTTTAATTATTTAATTAAACGAGTATTTTTCCATTGAATGAATACGTTTTGTCAATATATCATTTTCTAATGTATTAAAAATTTCGTAGCAAGAAATATCCTTCATATTGAATTTTACAGTCAGTAAGTGTTGCAGCTAGATGAGTATCTAAAGGAGGGTTTTTTTTTTTTTTTTTTTTTTTTTTGATTTATTAGTGGAAATCTTAAGGGTTTTACATTTTCTAGGACATATTGTTTTCCTATTTCCCTGCTATAGGAGTTATCCTCCTTTTCAGGGTGGTGTCTGCCCTGATTACAAAAGTAACCTAGCTAGCTAATTCCTAACTTTTGTGCGCGTGTGTGTGGGACCTGTGTGGCAGGTTTGTTCCCCAAGAATATCGCCAATTTTGCTATTTCCAACCTCATAATTGGACAGGTCCATGTATGAGGTGGGGAATATGATTTAGGAAAACCACAAAACCTAAACCACGATATTGTACATGTGTTTTGATTTTCTAATTGACGTAATTTGGGAAGGTTTATCTTATACTCAGCGGGGCTGATTCCAGCAGATCCTGGAGTTCAGCGGTGAGGGGGAGGTCTTGGGCGTCTGTGAGGAGTTTTAGATTCGGCTGTGGCAATTTTCTTTTCGGTTTTCGAAAGAGGGGGAGTTGGTTGGGTCGCCAAGGGGTACGAAGTGTGTTTTGGGAGTGGGTGTTTGTGCCTTTCAGCGTGCGAGAGACGTATTGTTTCCTGAGGGACTGGAAACGTGTGAGGATGGGGGTGTTGGGGGTGTTTAAAAAGACTTCTCCGCTGGGGGAGCGATAGGGGAGGTATTGGCATCGTCTGAGGATACGTCTCTCGAGTGTGGTGAGTTTGTGGGACAGGTGTGTGGGAAGTACACCGTAGGGTATAGCTCTGTATTCGGCAACGGGTCGGATGAAGGAATTGTAAGTATGGATGAGGGTATCTGGGTTACAGCGCCCTATTCGCCCGCACAAAGCTCCTAGGAGACTGGCTCGCTTTCGCATCTTATCAAGAGTGCGTTGGACGTCAGAGGACCAGTTAAGAGTACGAGAAAATCGTACCCCCAAATAGTCGACTTCGGTCTGTTGAGCTAGCCTGACTCCTAGGAGATATACGTTTACGAGTTGGGGGTTCTGAGAGGTTCTTTTGGAATTTGGGTGTTTGAAGACGATAAATTGAGTTTTCTGTGGATTTAATGAGACCCTCCATCTGCTACACCAGTGAGAGTACCGGTTTAACAGATTTTGGGTTCGAATATTTAGTTGGTTAGAATTTTTGGCTACCGAAATTAGAGCTGTGTCGTCTGCGTATAGCAGGCATTTGGATGTGGGGTGGTTTGGGGGGGGAATGTCGTGAGTGTAAATGAGATAGAGGAGAGGGGCCAGGACGGAGCCCTGTGGGACTCCTGCTAGTGGGGTGAATGTTTCGGATAAGGAGTTGCCCACTTTGACTGTAATTTTTCTGTCTGAGAGGTAGGAGTGTATGAATTTCGAAATTTGGGGGGGGAGACCTATGTTCATAAGTTTTTTGACTAGTCCGGCATGCCAGACTTGGTCAAAGGCTTTTTGAACATCAAGGAGAACGGCTGAGGAGATATGCTGGGAATTTACCGCCGTGACAGCGGTAGTGTGAAGGGAAGATATTGCGTCCTGGGTGGAGTGGTGGGGTCTGAAACCATGTTGGGATTGGGGTATGATGTTTCTCTCTTCACAAAATTCCCAGATTCTTTCCTTGAGCAGAAGCTCGAGGAGTTTACCTAGGACTGATATGAGAGAGATGGGTCTGTATGAATTTAGGGATTTGGGGTCCTTGCCTGGTTTGGGGATCAAAATGGTGTTTGCGGATTTCCAGGCAAGTGGAAAATAGGATAAGGAGAGGCAGGAGTTTAGGATAAGGGTGAGAATAGGAAATATGGTTTCAGGGAGATGTTTCAGTGTTCTCCTGTGGATGGAGTCAGGCCCGGAGGCCGTGTTTTTGCCTGCTTGGCAGGCGTATTGGATGACTTGGGGGGTAAATGGGGCGGTGAGGGGGTTTTCGACATCCAAATGGGGGAGTGGGGCGGCAAGTGTCTGAAGGACGTGATGTTCGGTCTCGATTTTGAATTGTTCGTCAAAGTGGGGGTTGTCGGGGGTTCTGAATGTGGCTTCGAGGTGGGTTTTATGGGCCAGGGCTTTCTCGTCGGGGGTGGCGTGAATTTGACCGTCGATTAGGAGGTGTGAGTGGGTTTTGGATTTTTGACCCGTGATTATCAGGAATTTGTCCCAAAACTTGGAGCCGTCTCTATGATCCAAATTAGATGTGGTATTGATCCATTGTTGCTGTTTGTGCAGGTTGATTTGGAGCCTGATCAGGGCGTTGAGACGGTTCCATTCTGTTTTGATGACAGGGTCGTGGGTACGGACGTATTGTCTATACAGGCGTCGTTTTTGGGAGATGAGAGTGAGGATGAATTGGGGGAGGGCTTTTTGGGCTGTGTTTATTGAAGTGATAGGGGTGGATGTTTCGACGGCGTGGGTGATGGATGTTTGGACTTCATCGATTATAGTGTCGATGTCCTGTGGGGAGTTGAGCGGGCGTTGATCTGGGATGTTAGTAGAGATAGTTCTCTGAAATAGGGGCCAATCTGCTTTTTTGAGGTTGCGGAAGGTGTGAATGGTAGCTCTAGGAGGAATTGGAGCAAGTAGGGATGTGTGTAACATCAGAGGAAGGTGATCGGAGGTGATCGTAACACCTATGAAGCATCTATCAGCAACCAGTCCAGTACAGGAGTCTGTCAGGAGAATGTGGTCAATGATAGATGATCCCAGGTGGGATACGAAGGTGGGAAGTCGGTTTGAGGCTCTGAATATGGGGAAGTCTATAAGCAGATTAGCTAGTCGGATTCCGTTTGGGTTAGAGGCGTGATCTCCGAACATGGTATGTCTGGAGTTCAAATCTCCAAGCAAAACGGCTCGAGGGAGGGAAGATAGGTATTCTATCAGTGGTAGGGAGATGATTTGGCCTGGGCGGTTATAGTACGAGATTATAGTTAATGGATTGTCTATCGGGAGGTCTATTGCTATTATATCAAGATCAGCTAGATGAGCTGGAAAAGTGTGAGAGTTGAATGGAATTGAATTTTTGATTAAAAGTGCATTCCCAAAAGAGTTTTGGGATTTATTTAAATGTACTGTTTGATACCCAGTGAAGCTGGGGGGAAGTTTTGACTTAGTGTCGGTAAGAGACAATATTTGTAGATTTTCAGAATTTAGGAGGTTTTTGATTAATGGCCTCTTCCGAGCGAGGCCATTGCAGTTAATTGTGCCGATAAGACAATCCATTAAAGGTCAGGGTTTATCGGGGAGTATGTGAAAATTGCTAAATTTCCATGACCTGTTACGGTGCATGAATGGCCGAAAATGGCCGGGATTAGCGTTCCCAAGATTTTTGTGAGTATTTCTCTACTATTTGGGAGGAGGTTCATCAGAAGAGTAGAAAATATCTGGATTGATATTTTGAGCTCTGATGTTAGCTCTTGGGGGGGGGGGGGTGGATGTTGGGAGGGAGACGGGAGCAACCTGTTCAGGTTTCTGGGGGGGTTTTTGTCTTTCGGGGCATGTAATTGAATATGCGGGGTGGTTGCCGCGACAGTTAGGGCATTTTGGCACCTCTGACTTTTTACAGTCAGCTGGCCTATGGTGCTGCCCGTCGTTGGGACAGGCGGGTTTTTTGGAACATTCTGAGGCCGAATGACCAAGGCCGGTGCACTGAGTGCAATATTTGGGAATGGGAGGCAGGGGGTTTTGGTTTGAGGGTTCGACTGGGTGTCTGCGGCCGAAGATGCCGAAGCCCTCGCGGATCAAGTAGGAATAGTGAGACTCTGAAGGAGTCAACACCCTGATGAAAGAAGTAAATTCGAGGGTTTTCTGGGACCTTATCCTCCATACTTTCGTATATGGGAAGTCAAGGTCCTCGAGAACCGCCTGGATTTCTTCTAATGAAATGTTTTTGTCAACCTGGCGGATGACTAGGGAGAATTGGGGGGCAGGGGGGGATCGAATGATTTTTTCTGGGGGGTTTTGGGCGTATTTAGGATTGAGGATAATTTTATTATCCCCCATTCGCTGCCTTATGAGGGTCTGGAGCTCGGTGGGGGTTTTGGGCGAGGTGGTTTTAATTAGGGCCGTTTTGTTAAAGTTAGCCTTAACAAAAACAAGGTTGGAACGGAATAGTTCCTGGGTATTCAATATATTGAATAAGGCTTTTTGGGTGGAGTAGGCGGCGGGGATGTTCCTGAGAACGAAGAGTGTTTGAGTGGGGCGGAGGGGTCTGTTAGGGGGGTTGTTGGGTAGTGTAGGGTTTGGGGCGGGTTGTTGAGTTTTTAGGGGGGAGTTTTCACGGAGATTTTGAAAAATGTTGGAGGGTTTGATGATCGTTTGGTCCATGAGTGATGGAATTGAGATTGAACTTCTATGGCTTGAGGCAGGGGAGGAGATAGTAGCCATAGAATTAGGGCCTTGGCCGAATTGCTGCGGGGCAGAAGCAGCCGATCCGGCGTAGGAGTTTTTTCTTGTCACCACCATGGTGGTGACGAAGGTTTGTTGGGGGAAATTCGCTGGGTTTGTTAGTAATTTGGGAGTCCCTAATCCGTCTAGTGAGTTGCAACCTCACAACTCAAGGGCTATTAACCCCGGCAATGGTGGCTTGACCCTAGTCGGATGACGTTTGTTAGTTTGTTTATGCTTACAATTTTTAGGTCCTGTGTCTTGAAGTCGTCTGGTAGTCCCAAGCTGAAAGAAATGGATTAGAAGTCGTTTATTTAAATGATGACAGATCAATCTATTCGAATAATTCGCAATGCGAATAATAACCTTTTTTAAGGAAAATTTCTAAAAAGAAATTTTCCAAAATTGGGCTATTAACCTGTAAAAAATGGGGTTAGTGTTGTCAGTACCAAATCTTATTCGAAAATTAGCATTTATTTAAGAAAAACTCTAAAAAGAATTTTTCGAAGTAGGGCTTTTTGGTTTGTTCGTTA